GGCAGCGGGTGCGGAGGCCGCACCTGCGCCCCCGCAGAGAGGGAGGCCGAGGGATGCGGGCTACGTCCTCAATCCCGGGAGACCGGGAGGATTTCCGCGGGTCTCGCACGCCGCAGGCTTGAGCCTTGGCTCCGCCCCCAGGGCGGGACCGCATCCCTTGCCCGCCTCCAACCCCATCCCCATTTCGTCCGCTCTCCCGGCTCAGGCGTCCGATCTGGCCCTAATTTAGGGGAACCGGACCCCGGCCGCCGAGGGTTGAGCAGCTCAAAGGGTCTCGCTGCCGCCCCTCTCCGCACCCCTCTGCCCCCTGCGTGGCGGCGGCGTCCGGGAGATCGGCGGGAGGGGAGGGGAAGGGAGTGCTCCGCCCCCACCTCCCCGCGGAGAGCTCCGCGGCGAACCGGCCTCGGTCACTCCAGCTGGGCCGGCTCCTAGGCGCTGCCAGAGCCGCGCTCGCGCCCCCTAACGTCGCGGCCCATCAAGGCGCCTCTGCAGAGCCCCCCGCACCCGGTTTAATGCGAGCTGGGCCGCGCAGAAGCAGGCCACCGCTGTCGCCCGCAGTCTTGGTGGGCTGCGCAGAACTGGATCCCCCCGGAGGCTGAGGAGTAGGCCAGGTGCAGATGCGGGGGCAGCACCCGGGCCGATATGCAAGGCAATCGGATCGGCGGATTCTTGGGGAAGCACACGGGCTTTGAGGCCAGCAGAGGAGGCGCGCGGGCCGGCCCGGTGGGCTTCCGGGTAGCGGTGAGACGGAGCAGCACCAGGAGCCCCGAGGGTTGAACCAGGCAAAAGCACGAGGGTGCTGGAGGTGAACCCGGGCTCATTCTGCGCCACGCCGCCCGCTCTCCCCTCGCTGCTGTGAGCTTTAAAACATTTCAGCTGTCCCGCGTCACAGCACATCAGATATATGCAGATGCACCTCCCACTGTTTTCCCTGTGAAAACTGAAAAGATCATAGACCGTCGCAGTTTCAAAATCAATTTGCTCCCGAATGTCTCACAATTTATGAATGGGTCTGGTTTCTCTGGGATGCTGGAGAGGCAAGAGGCTGTAACCCACAGGACCCCTTGTGGTGTTCATAAAAGATGGCGTTTTATAGCCCTTTCCAGATCCCTTGTGTTTTTCCTCCAGCCCACCGTGGGTCTGTAGGGTAAAGACAGCTTGCTTGTTCATTTCTCTGTGTTATTACGCGCTTTGAGCTCTGCTGCCTGGTCCATCCAGGCTGCTCCATAAATGTTGGCAACAAACGCAGTGGCTGCAGCGACTTGCAGGTGACTTTAGGGAGACCGAGGACAGCATTCAATTACACCAGAAGAGACAGTTACTCTCTCTTCAGTAGTCTTTGAAGCCTTGAACTATATCAAGGAAGAAAACTCAACTCGGTGCTAACACGTTTTTAACACCTCTTCATTCCTCTTCTATCCGCAGGCGGCTTTGGCATCTGCCGACAATTGTATCTAAATACAAGATAATAACGATCATTTTCCTCATATTTATTTTTATGGTTGCTTTATTTTTAAGGCTATTCAAACTGGTTTCCTATTTATGATAGTGACACAAACTTTTCCTAGAAAAGATCTATTTATTTATGAGAAATGAGTCATTTAACGAAAATAAAGTACTGTGAGTGGGACTGCAGGTGGAAGGGAGGAATGCAGTTTGAGGAGCGGGGTTTCATTGAGCCCTGGAGGGAGAGGATGAAGGCGTTGCAGGCAGAGAACAGCCTGTACCAAGGCCGGAGAGACAGTGCTGACATCCGGGGTCTTTGGTTGGAGCTGGGAGCAGGGGCAGACCTTTTCAACAGCAGGGCTGCTTATGAAAACCTTTGTGCTGAGCAAGGGGTTCGACTGTGTTTCAGAGGAAAGGTCTCAGCTACGTCAGCCTCACTCCTGTAATACATTATCCTGCAATGAAAGTCATACACTGCCAAAACATCAGTGTCAATATAACATTGTAAGTGTACTACAACAATAAGGGAAAGCATTTAGTGATAAAATAATATGTGGATATGTTATGCACGGACACCTAAAGCCAGCAGATGCTTGGCCTCTTTTTAAACAGCACAGCTACAAACGCACACATAACACGGGGTATGCCCTGATTTCGGCCACCCACAGACCACAGTGATGTGACATTCTGAAATGGTGACCGTCTTGGCAAAGTTCCAAACAAAACAAAAAGCAGCTGTCCCTCTACATAGATAGTTAAGTTAGCTGAGTTACTGAAAAATGCTGTATGTTTTTAAACCTTCTACGGAATATATTGGGTTTGTATGTCCAATGGACTTACAGTTTAGGCTCAGAAAATTATCAGCATAGTTTTAAAAATAGATACTAAGCTTTATTTTTAGTACAGTTTTAGATTTACAGAATACTTGTGCAAATAATTGAGTTCCACATATCTGACCCAACCCTATTTCCTTGATTATTAACATCTTGAGTTAATGTGGTACATTTGTTATAATCAGTGAATCAAGATTGGTAAATCATCACAGTAAAATTGCTTCATCTTACTTGACACTGCCGATAGCTGGATGTGGAGTCTCATGCCTGTCATCCCAGCACTCAGAAGGCTGAGGCAGGAAGGAAGATCACCATGAGTTTGAGACCAGCCTGGGCTAAACAGTGGGAACCCGTCTCAAACCACCCCCCCAAGCTGGGCGTCGTGGCGCATGCCTGTAATCCCAGCACTTGGGAGGCTGAAGCAGGAGGATCACTGTGAGTTCAAAACCAGCCTGAGCTACATAGTAAGTTCCAGGACAGTCTTAACTACATAGTGAGACCCTGTCTCAAAAAAACCCCAAAACTGCTAAGCCATCTTCCAAAATAGCCGTACCATTTTGCATCCCCATCATCAACAAAACTGCCATTAACTAAACACGTCTCCACTGGCAATTGGTGTTGTCTGTTTTAGGTTTTAGCCATTCTGACAGGGGTGTCTCATTTTCAACAGTGATTTCCTAGCTGGGTGTGGTGGCACATGCCTGTAATCCCAGAACCCTGGGAAGTCTAGGCTGGAGGATTTTGAGTTTGAATCCTAACGGGCAATGAAGCAAGACCTTGTCTCAAAAAAACAAAAACAAAAACAAAAACAAAACTGAGGATGTAGCTTGATGCAAAGGTCCTGGGTTCAGTCCCCACTATCACATGCAAAAAAGAACAATTTCCTAATGATGTGACAATGAGCATCTCTTCATATGTTTACATAGCGCCTATAGGCGTAGTTTGATAAGGTGTCAATTCAAGTCTTTTGCCCATCTTTTCAGTTTTTATTTGCTTGCTCATTTTAGTATATGTGCTGCCAAAGTAAGCACTGGTTTTTATTTTTTATTAGTACCTGTTTGCAGCACATAATGATTACATTACTTGTGGGAAGTTGGTACACATACATAACACATCTCAATTCTTTTTCATCTCTTTTCCCACATCTTTTTTTTTTTAAGAAATGGGGTGTAGTATGTTACCCACAATGGCCTCAAACTCCTGGAATTTCAAGTAATCCTCCAGCCTCAGCCTCATGGATAGTTTAGGACAATAGCCACATATCACCAACCCTGGCTTTTGTCTTTTTTATTTTTTATTTTGGTACTGCAGAGGGGATCAAATTCAGGACTGCTTGAGAGGCAGGCACGTACCACTGAGCTAAATTCCTGGCCTGCTTTTGCCCATTTTGGTTGTTCTTTTGTTTGGTGTTTTGAGACAGGTTCTCCATATGTAGTCCAGGCTAGTCTTGAATTTACAGCAGTCTTCCTGCCTCAGCCTCCCAAGTGCTGGGATTACAGGCATGAGCCACCATACATGGCTGGGTTGTTCATTTTAAAAACTAATACATAGTCTGGCATTGTGGCACATGCCCGTAATCCCAGCACTCGGGAGACTGAGGCAGGAATATTGCTGTGAGTTCGAGACCAGCCTGGGCTAGATAGTGAGTTCCAGGTCAGTCTCAACTACATAGTGAGACCCTAGTGTCAACATAGTGAGAGACCCTGTCTCAAAAAAACCAAAATAAATAAATAAATAAATAAAACTGTTACATGAAAATTGTGCATATTTATGACCATGATGGGATTTTTTGATGTATGCATATGCTGTGTAATGCTCAAATAAAAGTGAACACATCTATTTCCTCAAATATTTATCATTTTTCTTCATGGTGGAAACATTCAAAATCTTTCCTTCTACCTTTTTAATCCTCCCCTTTAGTTTCTTGCCTTGCCTAATTGATTTACTCTTTTGGGCCTCATGGTATTGTGACCTTCATTGTCTTTTTCTAGGATATTGTTTAGAATTCTTTGGAGTGCTGGTTTGGGATTCATGAAGTGTCTCAGGTGTTCTTTGTCATGGAAGTATCCTATTTCTGCATTTTTTTTTTTTTTTGGTACTCAGATTGAACTGGGGTCCTTGCACTTGTGAGGCAGGCGGCAGAACCACTGAGCTAAATCCTGGCCTTCCCCATCCATTTTGAAAGAGAGTTTCGCAGGATACATCAGCCTAAGTTGGAGGTTGTTTTCTTTTAGGGCTTGAAACACCTCACTCCAGGCTCTCCTTGACCTGAGGGGTTGTGTTGAAAAGTCTGCTGTGATTCTGATGGGTTTTCCTTTGCATGTGACTTGTTTCTTTTCTCTAACTGCTTGTAGTATTTTGTTCTTCTGGTGGGTTTTTGGGATCTTGACTGTTATATGTCTAGGTGTAGATTTTTTTGATCATAGCTACTTGGAGTCCTATATGCCTCACTTATCTGTGTGTCAAATTCCTCCCCTCTGGGAAGTTTTCTGTCATTAATTCTATGAACAGCTTTATAAAGTCATTTGTTCTTCTACCTTTAAAAAAATATACAGGACATTATTTTTATCTATAATGTCTTATTGTTATAATTTTCAAGAGTTCTTCATATATTTTGCATACATGTCCTTTATTGGTCTTGCAAATATTTTCTCCCAGGTTGTGGCTTATCAGGAATTCTCACACAGCATAGCACTGCAGACTCAGCTTGGAGCTGTGGAGTGGAGGATGTTTAGCAGTGTCCAGGTCATGCCTACCTGATATAGCTCACATCTTCATCTTGGCTATGCTCACCATCTCCAGACATTGGCAAATCTCCCCTGAGCACAAAGTTGCCCTTGATTAGGAACTGTCCTGGAGCATTTCCCTACTGTCT